TATCCTTCCAAGAAACCCTTCTTCTATCTATATTTACTCATCTATGTCTCTCTTCTAGAAATCCGTTATTCCCTGGACTTTCCAGCATTAATTTTGCTTAGCTACTTCTTGCTGCACCTAAAATACTTTCATTAATAGTGATGCATCTGGAGGCAAAGTTGTCTTTGGTGATTGAGTTCCTGAGAACTCTTCCTGCATACTAGGATAATTAAAAGATTTCAATAAAGGCAGTGACAGTGGTGTCAAGGACACCAGGTGCTTTCTGGGCCCCTGAAAGCCCATGATACAGTGACAGTCAGAAAAATAATAGCAAGTAAAAGCATGCCAAGTACACTGCATGTTTTTTAGCACAGCCAATTCCAAGAGGCAACCTTCCTTGAAGTTCCAGCCTCAACCCACGGAGGGTCTCACATGGGCTTCATTGGAGATGGCGTGACAGGTGTACTGCATGATCTTACATGGGACTCCCATCCCATAGAGTGGTGTTGTTGTGAGCTGGGAGTTTGAAGATAGGTGGAAAATGGGACCCAAGGAGGTGTGGTCCTGTCTGGTGTCTGACCAGGGACTGTGGTACCAGGAGGTGGTGCAAGTGTTTTGGGCTCCATGGAAAGGGCTCTTTCTCTTCTTGGTTGGGCCAGGTCCTTTTCCCAGTTCCAAGGCCTTCTTCTCTCTCTTCTTTTCTTTCTTTCATTTTCTCTTTTTTTTTGTCTTTCTTTTTTTTTTTTCCTGGCCCTGACTGTAACTGGGTCAGAGATGAGCCTGGGCTGATTGCTGCTCCTCGTAGGGCCCAGGCTCCTTTCTTTGTCCTTTATCCTGGGCCCTCATTGACTGATGCTGAGCCCAGGTTCAGTTCCGTTGAAAGGACTTGCTTGTGGTCAGGATGGGCCTGGGCTGTTTGCGTCACTTTGTGGGGCCCAGGCTCCATCTGCTAACTTTTTGCCTGGGGCCCATTCATCGAAGTTTGGCCTCCATTGCCTTGGCTGGGGCTTTGTGGAAAAATGGCTGCCCATGCTCCTGTGTCTTCTTGAGTGGGCCCAGGCTCCTCTCTTGGAGGATTTTGCCTGGGCCTTTTGGGTTTTTGCACCAGGGCTACATTGTCCCTTTTAATTTTTTCAGGGGCTGGTGTTGTCAGGACAGGGATGAGCCTGGGCTGTTTACTCCCCCTAGTAGGGCCTAGGCTTCTTTCTTTTGACTTTTCAGCCTGGCCCTTGGTCCAGTAATGGGGAGCCTGCGCTCTGTTCCCTGGATGGGACTGGCTTGAGCTCAGGGATGGGTCTGGGCTGTTTCCTCCACTTTGTAGGGCCCAGGCTTCTATCTTCTAACTCTTTGCCTGTCTGGGCCCTGTTGCATCCACCCTCGGTCTGGGCTCCATGGCCTTGGCTGGGGGTGCTTAGGGAAATCATCGTCCAGGGCTGCTGTGTGATCTGGGTGGGCCCAGGCTCCTCTTTTGGGGGATTTTGATCCCAGCCCTTTGGACTTTTCAGCCTGGGCCCTTGTTCCACTCTGGGGAGCCCGGGCTCTACCTGTTGATGGGACTGGCTTGTGGTCCGTGAACTATCAGCTATAACCTAGCCTAAGTTACTCCATTTTGCCAAAAGCAGCCATTTCAGGAGAAGTTCCTTTTATCCTACTTATGAAAGATACCTAGAAGGGAGAAACAACATGGAATTCCGAGAAATAGCCTGCCTGCATACCACAGGGTGTTCTAATCTAGGCCTGCACTTGACTAACTGCTTATTTTGCTCCTGTAAACCTGCTTTGCTTACCTGCACCCATGCCCACACAAGAACAGGTAGTTGATTGGTAAATTCAAAGTTTTATTTTTTCTGTGTTGTGTAAACCTGATTGGCCCTCTGATGTTCTGTTTGAACCTTGCTTTCTGTAATCCTATAAATATTCTGGCTGACTGGTGTTCGCTTCTGCTTCTATTCAGACATAGACAGCCCAGTAGGCCAAAATAAAACTGTACTTTGCTACTTTCAATTAAGTGGTGTTGGTGATTTTTGTTCAGAATTTGGCATATAACAGCCAGGGATGGGCCCAGGATGTTTTCTCCACTCTGCTGGGCCCAGGCTGCAGTCTTTTAACTTTTGGCCTGGGCCCTGTTCCATCGATGCTCAGCCGGGGCTCCTCGGCCTTGCTTGGCTAGGGCTTCTTGGGGGAAATCTTTGCCTGCGGCTCCTGAGTCACTTCCTTGGTGGGTCTGGGCTCCTATTTTGAGGGATTTCTGCCTGGGCCCTTTGCATTGTTCAACCTGGGGATCTTTGTCTTTGTGTTTGCTTGTTCTGTCTCTGTTCTGCCCTGGTTGCTGTTGCAACACAGAATAGCCCGGGCTTTTGTTTCCTCCCCTTTGGAGGGCCCAGGCAGGCTTCTTTCTCTGGGGTTTTCATCCTGGGCCCTGTGTGATCACGGATGCTCAGCTGGGGCTCTTTTCCCTTGTTCGCACTCTCGTGTTGGAGATGTGCCTGGGCCATTTGTTCCCTGTCCTCTTTGTCAGATATTTTGCCCAGGCCCTGTTCAATCTAACCTGAGCCCAGCGGGCTCCACCCTGTCTCACCACACCACTGGATCTCAGCACCTGGTTGGCATCCATTGTGCACATGGGTGGGGGGTGCAGAGACCCTACCATTTCCCGCCTTGCCAAGCTACCAGTTCCTCCAGAGGAGGTCGGGAAATCTTGTTGTCCTGGTGGATCAGGCCTTGGGGCACCACAAGATGGGTGGCAGGGGGTTTGGAATTTAGGTTGAGGTCAAGCCACAGGGCAGGATCCCTCAGTGCCCATTGTCTCTTGTTGGGGACCCCTGTTGTGAAGTAGTAGTCTCTCCATGTCCGGACAGCCAATGGGCTCAGTTTCATATGCAGAAGACTCCTTTTCATCAGGGTACCTTCCCGGCATCTTCCTGACTCATCTTTTGAAGTAGCCGCCACAGAAACATGACCTCCGGCTCTGGAAATGCTAGGTTTTCCTGTGTGATTTTTCTGGCAGTCAAGCAGCCTGGCAGAAGCCCACTTCCATATGTAAATAGGGTATCCCACAAAGTACCTGTCAGCTAAAGCTTTTACCACTACCCCCACGGTATAAAGTTTCCTGGTTTTCCCTCAATAATTGGAGCTGGATCACTAGGAGCTGGAGCTGGGACACTGAGACTTGGAGCCAAGCAGAGTCACTTAATAAAGAGCTGTAACACAGACTAAGCTGAGTCCTGTGTCTTATTGCCTGCGATCCAGTCTCCCCGGAGAAAGCGGTTTCTTCGTAAGCCGACTCACAGACACCTAGCTTTAGCTGCCCCGTTCCTTCCGGCGTGATCCAGCAGCTGGTGGATTTCGCATCTTGAGGAAGTGCACGGGTGAAATTAGGGTGGAACCCGGCCGGGCAAGCCCCGGTAGCGGAGACCCACAGAGAAGCGGGAAAGCGGCGGAGAACGCAGAGCAGACGCCGTGGGACCTGCTGCCTTCCAGGTGTGCGCAGGGGACTTGCGCCACGCTAGTGCGAGAACTTCAGCACCCCAGCGGCGGACAGCGATGCGGTGCGCGACCAGACCCGCCGCATCTCCAGGTGTGCGCAGGGGACGCCCTGAGATCCCTGCGCACCCCTCATAGTCTCTGTGCATAGAATGTGTGAATGAGAAATATTTCAGTGCTTTGTTGAGTTCATGTCATCATCGTAGTCATCATCAGGAGAGTTGGGTGCCAGCCTCACAAGCCTCAGTTAGTTTCACCCAGGTGTGTTTTGGGTACCACCATACCACCCGGGTGGTGGTGTGGTTTTGCAGACCGCCGGCATTGGGTGGCCGGGGCTGAGAGATATTGTCTGGTTGCAGAGAGGGCCCTTACTGCCCTGTGGTGGGGGCCAAGGGTGTCTGTGGAGAGTCCGGGGCCAGGGAAGTCAAGATGGGGCCAGGGTGGGGATCAAGTCAGGATGTGGCCCACATACCCAGGATGGTAAGCTGTAGCCAGGCTGTCCGTCCTTCCGTGTTGGGCCTGGATACCACCAAGAGCCATAGTGTGATCCTTGCTGCCTGAATCTAAGGAGCAGGCCTGGGCTCAAAGCTGGGGGAGTCAGGGGGGTTGGAGGGGCTGGAGGGCATGGGGGGGGGTGGGGTGTTGTACAGGGGTGGAGGTGTGGGGGGAGGGGGGTTCTGAGAGGGTTGGAGGGGGTGGAGGGTGGAACAGGTTCTGGCCCACTCATCCAGGATATTAAGCACTTTGCATGTTGTCTGTTTTTCTGTGTTGGTCCCTGACACCAGCAAGAGCCATGGTGTGATTCTGCCTGCCTGGATCTGAGGAACAGTCCTGGGTTCAAAGGTGGGGAGGTTGGGAGGGTGAGGGGGTGCATGGGGTGTGCAGTGTTCTGGGGCTGTGTTGGGGCATGTGTGGCGGGTGGTGTATGGCGACGGAGGGTCGGGGACGTCCAGGAGGGTATGGGCGGGTAGGGGCTGGAACAGGGTGTGTCCCACTCACCCAGGATATTAAGTTCTATGCAGGTTGTCTGTCCTGTGTTGGGCCCAGACACCAGAAAAGGCCATGGTGTGATCCTGGCTGTGTGGCTCTAAGGAACAGGGTTCCCAGGGGGAGGAGGGTGGCAGTGGGGGGAGTGGCAGGGGGTTGTGGGGGTGTGAGGGGAATAGGGTGTGGCCCACTCACGCAGGATCTTTAGCTCTATGCAGCTTGTCTTTCCTTCCTTGTAGCCCCAGTGTGGCTGCCAAGGAGGCCCATGGTGTAATCAATCCTGCCTCTGTGTATCTCAGGACTTTTCACGGTGTGGGGTGTAGGCAGGGTGAGGCCCACACACCCTGCTCTTTGATCCATGTCTGTAGGGTTGTATTGAAGACTTGAGTTTCCACCCTGTCCCTTTACCACGATTAAACTCCAAAGTTGAGTTGTTATGTGTTCTGTAGCACAGTCCTTACTTGCTTTGCATGTCAGAATGCTGGATTGATCACTAATACACCTTAAAGGGAGACTGAAGAAAATATGTTTAGATAGATAGATAGGTAGGTAGATAGATAGATAGATAGATGATAGATAGATGATAGATGATCTAGCTGAGGAGCTCTTGGCAGTTAATGGTCACCAGTGATGGGATAGTGTTTTTCTTCATAGTTGTGGCCACTGTTAAGTTGCCCATGCTCCAGTGGACGGCTCAAAACCCATATGCATATGGGAAGCATACAATTGGAACACAAGAGATGATAGATGATAGATAGATAGATAGATAGATAGATAGATAGATAGATAGATAGATAGATGGATGATAGATGATAGATTATTTACAGGTAGGTAATAGGTGGATAGATAGGTAGGTACATACATGATAGATGATAAATAGATTGATAGATGATAGACAGATACATATTTAGATAGATGACAGATAGATTATTGTTAGATAGATTGATAGACCAATGATAGATCCATAGATGATTGATTAAATAGATAGATAGATAGATAGATAGATGATAGATGGATGGATGGATAGATAGATAGACTGACTGACTGACTGACTGACTGATTGACTGATTGATTGATTGATTGATTGATTGATTGATTGACGGATGGATATAGGAAACCAGGATGACAGGTCCTAGGGTGAGATGAACATAAAACCTTTAAGTCCTGCATTCTCTGCTAAAGGTAGGGGCACTGAAAACAGTAGCTCTGATAATTTCAGTCTCGCAGAACACTACAAGACTGGCAGGAGACAGGTCTGGTCATAAGTGCAGGCTCCTTGCTCTGTGGGAAAGTGTCTTGGTCAACAACCCTTAGCTCATCTCCTTGTCCTGAACAAATAACTCATCTCTCCTTAGCTAAGAGATTAGGTCAGGTTAAAGGTTTACTCCTGAGCTAAAAGCTAAAAGTTTACCATGCTTCAAACTCTAAGAAAGAAAACACTGTGGCCAATAAATTACTGGATGGGCATTGATAACTTTGAGTAAAAGTTTAAACATCCTTCTGGTGCCAATTAACAGACTATGTGTCCTGCTTCTTTGTTCCCTAAATCTTTGTATGTGACTGCCACATCCCACGTGACTGCCAGTTCCTTGGGATGTATAAAAACCATCTGAATTTTGAAATAAACGTCTTGTTGAAAAGACACAAGCCCCAGGGTCCAAGATTCTGCTGCCGATCAAGTCTCTCTGCCCTGAAGCAAATAGGTCCCCGCTGAGCAAAGCAAACCCAAGCCCTGACAGATGGATAGATGATAGATAGGTGATTGTTAGATTGGTGGATAGATAGATGATAGATAGATAGATAGGTGATTGTTAGGCAGATTAGACAGACATGATAGATAGATAGATAGATTAGATAGATAGATGATAGATAGATAGATAGATAGATAGATAGATAGATAGATAGATAGAATGGATAAAGACTAACCTATGGGGCTGGAGAAATGGCTCAGTGGTTAAGAACACTGTTCTTACAGAAGACCTGGGTTTGAATCCCAGCCACCCACACGGCAGCTAACAACTTTCCATAAATCCAGTCCCAGGGGATCCGACAGCCTCTTCTGACCTCCGCGGACACTGCACAACAAGAGTGCACTTACCTACATGCAGGCAATATATGCATACACATAAAATAAAAATAAAACAAAAAAAGATTAGCCTATATGCTTTTGATGAGGACAGCCCCATCCCATGCATGCAACGAACCCTTGTGACATCTGCTTTTCCCTTTCCCCTCCTCAGCTGAGCTTTCAATGGAATAATTGAGTTATTGAATGAAGGAATGAGCATGCTTTCCCACCCTATTACGAGCCCAGTGCACCAAGAGTAGACAGTGGTGTCATGGTTCTGTTAGCTGTAGCCTGAGCTGGGGCCTTTTAGTAAGCAGGTGCTGCTTCAGGGCTAGTGCTGCACCTTCTCACCCTCCAGTTTTTCACATCTCTCATGAAAGGGTATTCTCTGGTGAAGCATGGCTCCCCTTTCAGTATCAATAGAGCTGGCCAGCAGTCACCATGGGGACGGCATTTTTCCTCCATAGGTACTCAGAAGGAGGCAGAGCTGACAGCCATTTTCTGTGCAAAGTTTGTAACCACTGGCTGAGTCAGCCAGGCTCAATCCTTTGAGACAGCTTGTCTAGATTATAGTCTGAGAAGAGACACTAGGTCAGTGGTTACTGAGGGCATCAACCCAAGTGAGCGTGCAGTCATGAACACCAGGTCAGCCTCCTGTAAGGCCTGTGCTCTATGCTTCCAAACATACTGCATGCATATAGATCAACAGCTTTTACAGGTCTCTTGACAGCAGTACAGCTTGCCTCCATATATGCAATTTCCAAATTTATGGAGTCGGCCAAAGATGGGAAATATTTTTTAAAAAGATCATATCTGCATGGATCCACCATGCATAGACTTTTCAGTTGCTACCTAAGCCCTGCAGTGTGGCAGCTGTAGGCCTGGTCTTCCTGAGTCAGGCATAGGAGTTATCCAGAGGGACTGAGAGCACCTGGGTGCAGATTACATGGGGACACTGCATCTCTTTGTGGAAGGGTTTTGTACGTCTGACAGGTTCAGTGTCCTGAGGCTCCTATAACAACCCCCATGGCCCCTGAGGATTTTGTGTGGTTGTACTTTTCAGTACTTATTGGGATACTGAACTCAGAGCAGGCAATTCAGTCAGTGTTGCTGCTGAGACTGTTGTATCTCCCAGGTACAGCATTCCCACATCACCTTGTATGGCATAGAAACCTGTATTACGAGGTATACCCTTACCCCATTCTTGCCTCTGAGCCTAAAGGGTCTCCATTGTTTCTCAGCCCTGTGATTCTTTAATCTGTGTTCTGTGGCTGTGTGAGGTTCTACAGCTTCGTGAAGTCCCGTAGGTTCCGATTTTTCACATGCAGACATATCCCAAATGCCATTTCTCAGGGTTGCTATGAGCATGCGTGGAGTACAAGCCCCCATTAAAGTGCTCAGCTGTGCCTACTCCCCTCTTTGGCAGAAAACCGACCTGAACCATCACTCACTGTCTTGTGGAGATTGGTGCCTGAGTGTCACATTGGTGCTTGACACAGAACAGAGAAGGGTTGTATTAGGAAGGTGTTACTATTTACATGATGTGTGTCTCTGGGTCTGGAGGATGGCTCTTCGGCTTGAGAGATGAATGTATTTTTGAGACCCTCCTCTTCATGATGACTGGCTGAAATCAGCCTTGTAACCCAATCTCCCTACGCCTTTGTTATTATTTTTGAAGTAATAATGTTAACCTTTTGCTTTAATTCCCTGGTTATTCCCCTGACTGAAGCTGGAGATTTTATCCTTTGGCATGTTGGGGAACCCTGCTGTTAGGGTTGCAGTTTCTCCATGTCCGGATAGCCCTGAGCAGCTTGGCGCCATATGAAGAGACTCCCCTTTTCAGCAGGGGGCCTCCTGCTCTCTTCCTGGCTCACCTTGAAGTGCCGCCAAACACAGATGCCTTATCTGAAACATGACCTCTGGCATAGAAACTACCAGGTTTTTTCTATATGATAATCAGACACTGTCTGACAGTCTGGGAGATAGAAGCCCACTGCCACATGTAAATAAAGTATACTATGAGCACCTATCAACTGAGGCTTTCTGCTACTGCCTCCACACTATAAATTCTCTACTTTTCCCATTA